AGCTGCGTGTCGAAACCGTACCTTGAGTTTCCTAATCTCCCTTTCTATTTTTAAGTGGAGTCATTCCCCCCTTCCCTGCCATGCAGGCAGCTGCAGAGAGCAGCTGGTGACAACAGAGCAGCTGATACGCTCTCCAGTCCTCCCCTGCACATACATCTCAAGATAGCCGAAACTGGGCTCTCTTCCCTCTCTCCGTCCTTCAGGTCTTGTGTCAAGGACAGCTGAGCATCGCTACCCGGCTATCCAGAGGACTGCTGCTCTCCTGACACAGCTCATTTAAAGCAGCTGAAGTCCCAGATGGCACCTCTTATCCCTAAAATGTCCAAGGAGAAAGGCACAGAGGTACTGGAGAAGCAGCTCGCAGGACAGCCAGCGCCTAACTCAGCTGCAGGAAACCTGACAGAAACGGGATGCAGGGCTGCAGGTCCCACTGACCACTGGAAGGTTTGAGCCCATGTCCTCCACGTGCCCCAGTATTAGGCATACGTAACAAACCCTGAATTCTCTCTTCACACAGCTGAGAAGCTTTAAAATGGCAGGCTTTAAAATGCGCCGTCACTGTAAAGTCAGCCAAGCAAGGAGGGCACTTTCCTATGTGGCCAGAGCTGTTCTGAACCTCTGTGGGGATGCAGAGCACAGACTGTGCAGGGCAGCCAGCCGCATGGACCAGCAAGAAGCTGGGCTCTCAGAGTCTTAGTAGCACACACTTCCAGGAGAGAAGTGGAAAGCAGGCAGGTCAGTCACTTGAGGGGGCCTGGCTGAGAGTTCAGCATCTCAAAGGGCACTTGAGATGAGACTTGCTGAGAGCAAGCTAAGATACTGATTCTGTCTCAGGGCTGCACAGCTTCATTCAGCCTTGTATGCTTTTGGTTGTGGGCAGCTGGAACAGTTTGAGTCCTTTCTGAACTAAGCCCTTTTACTTTCATTCTCACAGCCACAAATACAGAAAATGAAGCTACTTTTACTCTTCCTCCTATAACATTTTTTGTGTGTTACCTGCTACCTATAGTACAAATTATTTGAACAAAAGAAGCTTATTGGAAATGTCACTGATAGAATTTAAGGCACATGCAGACAGGACAAATAGATAAGTATCAAAACACTGGACAAAGCCCTTTCTTAAATGCCTGCAAACCCTGGTGTAGATTTAAGCATGCCAAGGTGCCTAGACAGCTCAAACTGGCAGATTCAATCCACCTGGATTCTAGGAAACAAAGCCACCAATCAAATCAGCCCATCAGCCATTAACTCATTTAAAATTAAGCTTTTCTACTGAGTCACAGTACTTACGGGCAGCTGAGTAATGCTTCTGTGGCAAAAGGTGATGGGACTCAGCGGGTGCTCCTTGGCTGCTCCGTGGCTGCTGCTGCCCGAGGAGCAAAGCCTCGTGGTGAGCAGCCCAGCCGGGAGATCTGAGAACTGCTCCCCGCTACCCAGACAGCAGCAGCCCACAAGGACACACTGCACTCGCTGCTGTGTGGACAGCTACACATCTTTATCGCTGTTTGCTTCCTTCCTTCCTTCCTGGCCTCCAGTTGCTTCAACAAACAGAGATAGGACGCTAATTTCCCCGCCCACCCAAGCTGCTGCAGAACATTTCTTGCTTCTTCATACGACATAAGAATGTTACCTACCTATAGTTCTTCCAGCGCAACAGCAAAATGTAAGTGAACTCCACTGAAAGCCTGGCTTTCCCCCTCTGCCTCACCTTCCTAATCCAGTTTGAGGTGAGGGCTGTGTGCCTTGGCGCAGGGAAGGAGGTTCCCTCCTGTTCCCAGCCCGCTGGACTCCATTGCCTTCCCAACCGGAACAGAATGCACGCCAGCAACAAAAGCCCACAAGCTAAACAAAGACCTGCAAATCACTTTGCTTCTTACCTCCTGGAAGAGGGGAGTTTTAGGGAAGAGGAACCTTTCTAGTGGTGTTTGCGGGCACTGAGACCTCGTGTTAATGATTTACCCAGTAGTGCTGGATATGCGGTTTATTGTTATTCGCCTTCCTGCCTCAATCGGCATAACCAAATCAACAGGCACATGAAGAAGGGACTTTAAGCAGAATTGAATGCCTCAAAGCTCGCTTATCCCACCCCAGTTTAAAAATACATTCCATTTATGTGTGTATGCGTGTGTGTGCATATACACACAAAAAAGTCGATGCCTAGAGGTCTCAGTGTGGGTAAATGTATGTCTGTGTATGCAAACCAACACCTCAGTGATGGATCTGCCCAACCTCATCCCACTTCCACAGGGAGATTCTGGAACAGAATTACCTGCAGATGTCTTCAGTGCCACTCAGCATCAATTCTGTGAACTTTTCCCACTGAGCACATAGATGAGAAATTTCAGGACTAATTACATGGCACACTACAGGCCAGATTCCTTGTTGCACGAATGACACCATGTTTACCTGGGTCAATACATAACAACGGGGCAGAGGATAGCAGCCAAATTAATAAATCACTTCTGACAAGAAATGCATTCAGATTTGACCAAAATGCTCCTGCTTGCTCCCATAGGTCTTATCTTTATGCTGTATTTTCCTAGCCACCTATGGCTGTATGGGTTTAGAGACTAGAAGATACAAAAAGCAGTCAGCCTTGTTCTCCCATGGCTGAGGTGGGGCTAAGAGGAAGGGGCAGCTTGACGACTGCAGGTAATTAGGAGCAAGCTGTTGAAACACCTTCTAAACACATTTAATCATTATGTATTTAAATATTGCATGTGTTCAGGCAGATGCAACTTAATATCACATACAACCCTAAACAAATTAAAAGAAATATGCTTAATGAATTTTTCCAAAGTACCTGCAAAGCTTTTTTTGTTGTTGTTTAGTTGTCATTTTTCCCTTTTCTACAGACTTTGGCCAGAACATATTCAGACAAAGGGCTACCAGAGAGGACAGCCTGAAGTGGCTGTATGTGTATCATTTTTCTTCCAAAGGATGGAACATCTTGGAGTTGTGCTTCCTGTTACGTGGCAGTTGCTTTGCTTCACATCTACCTTCCCAAGCATTGCTGTGAATGATGACCACCACAAAAATGCCTGAAGTCAGCCATGGAGCGTGTGCCTGTTTGTCCCTAATCAGGAGATGAGCTATGTGACAGAATGCTAGATCTGAGGATGATTGCTAGCACTTCAAAGAAATAGCTACTATGAGCTTCAGCACGAATGTTTCTCTGTAGCTCCAGCAGCACTGACACTGGCTGGAGAGCATCCTTCCTGAAGCCTGGCTGGGGAAAGGCCTTCCCTGTCCCGGCATCTTAAATCTGCCTAAGTACTAAAAGCAAAAGGTCACAGCAAGTAGATTATATTGGGTCACCTCCTTCCATGCTCATCAGGAAGGAAGGTGGGAAGTAAAGTCTAGTGGAAGTAACAGGTCATACCCACTTACACCAAGGTGACCCAATCCAAATCCCCAGCACAACACAGACAAAGGAAAACAGTGGCATGGCTTCAATGATAACTTGAAATACCAGGAACTTGCAAGCTTTTCTGCATGCATGGCACTCGCAGGTGACAACGCTGTCTCCAGCTGAGCCACTGGCTTGGACAGGAAACCAAAAGCAGAGCTGTAAAGGTGGTTTTCTATAAAAAGATAGAAGAATGCCCACAAAGCTGAACTCAGTGAAAAGAAGAGGTCAACAAAAATAAAATTTAAAAGCAGCTGGTAAAGAAGAAGTAGCTTAGAGGTGAGATAAGTCAGTTTTTAAAGGGCTTCCCCTTAAATTACTAAGAAGCACTCCTTGCAAAGCAGGGCTTCAATGAAGCAGCTACACTCCTGCCTTTTCAGGATGCATTTTACAGGGCCAACACATGCAAAGGCATGCTTCTTGCTGGCTACCACAGATCACCACCAGCACAATGCAAAAGCAGGTATGAGCTCAGCCTGGTTCTGTATTTCTCAGATCATCATCTACCAGAGAGGTCCCATTCAGATTGCTACACATGAGCAACATAAATCCCCACATTCACTGCTCCTATCTCCCAGAGAAAGTATCCTAAAAACCTCTTAAGCATTGTTATAAGTTATCTGATTCTGGTCACTGATGTAACAAACCAGCAAAAATATGCCACAAGACCATAAAGAAGTTAATCCCACCATCATTTGCTTTAAAGCACTGCGTTCAACAACAGTTTGAGGACATATTTTTAAGCACTTTCAAATATATAGCCCATTTTCTTCAAAGTGAAGTTTTTTGGTCTTAACCACAACACAACTGCCTGACTATCCGAAAGGAAACATCTCTTACTGTACTTGATTGCTGTTTGCTATGAGCATCAAATCCTCTCCCTCACTTAGCATTCAGTGCCATGATGTGCCAAACAAGCCAACACCAGTGGGAAACTGCTGCCTATTACTCTGCTTCAACATTTCATCCCCAAATCTAGTGGCCTAGTTTATACTAAACCCTCTGTGCAATCTGTAGCACAAATCTCTCCAGAGATGCTGTGAATGCAACAAACCCATCTCCTCAAGCTTATTACTTCTAGCTCCAAGGTGGGTTTTTAAATCACTTTTCCTAAGCTGAAATGCCTTTTTAAAGCAAACACGAAGTTGAGAACATTGGTAAGTTTTAAACAGCTTTGAACTATTGTTTAGTGCTCTCAGCTGTGTGACCCAGAAGTGAAGCACTTCTTATTAATGAGGTAAAAACCCACATCTCTGAAACAAAGCTGTTCTGGCCACCACTGCTCTACCCTTCTGAGAGCTTTCAGCTGGCAGATGTGTATATTCTTCCTTTATATAACGTGATCTTAAACAGGCTAGTAGGTAAAAAGACAAGAGCAGTGGACAACCAGAAAAAAAAAATCCTATCATTTTTTCTAACTAGTTTAAAGAGGGAAATCCAAAACTACTTCATCTGTATTACAGCATTAATAGCCATTACCACTTCTATGAGCAAAGCAGTTAAGAGAGGACATTTACTTTTGAAACAGAAGAAAGCTCATCAAATATTCCATAATCGGGTTCTGACATACACTAGAAGCATTAATGAATACCTTGTAGAATTGCCAGTCCATCTTTCAAACAAACTTCCATAACTGCCTGGTTAAGCATTTAGCTGTATCCAACACAAAGGGTGACTCTCGAGGTCCATGAAACACTCATCAGCTCCAGCAATTGCACTTCCAGAGAAAAACACTGCGTCATACAACGTATGACTCGCAGAGCAATGTCCAGAGGAAACCACACTTTTGTTTCTCTCCCTATAAAAAACTCAACCTGCTTTTAAGTTGAACCACTTTACCCAAACAGAAATCTTTCTGCCAACAGAGAAGCTAATTTCAGCTTGCTGGAACACGTATGCAAGGTGTACTTTAAAATCACAGCAAAAATAACAGTCACACAGCCTGCCACCAAACCAGTCACCTGCAAGATCAGCTAAAAGCTTCCCCTGCTCTCCTCCTCCGGAGAGGCACTAGGGAAATACGCTATGCTGCTGTATTTCAACACGTGGCTGTACTCTGACCCAGTGCCAGTTTTGCAATCCCTAACACTCTGGCAGTCCCAGGGCAGCTCCCCAGCCTCTCCTTCCTGTCTGATCCTGCACATGGTCATGGGACTCTACTGAACTGCAATGGCTCAGAGGGATTGCAAGCAGCCATGCTCCCTGGGTGCTCGCTGCAACAGAACTGTAAAAAGCTCAGCAGAAACACCAGGGGGGTTACACAAACCTGAGGTTTTCCCGGCCATAAGTCCTTTTGCTGCAGATAAACGAGAGTGCTGCAAGCAATGCAAGCAGCCTGAATTTCACTGCAGCCTCATCTCACTGGAAGCATCTTTGTGAACATGCTCATCCCACATGTTGCAGGCTGTGTACGTCCTGCTGCCATTGCCAGTGAAACCCCACAGCTGTTGTCCTTGGGATCACCAGGGAAATACCTGCATTGCCTCAGCAGGGACTCTGGGATGGCACAGTGGAGTGTAACTCTCAGAAAACATCAGGGTGGCACAGTGTGTTACTGCCTCCGTTCACACAGGACACATGCAACGAGACAGCCAGATCAAAGCAAGTGTTTAATGCCACTCTGATCACAGATTAACCTAGAAGGAAGCTTTCAATAACAGCGACAAAGAACAAGCTGCTCTTTTCAAACTCAGCGTTGCAGCCAGTGGGACACCCGTCACATGGCAGGGAGCTTTCCACGTGTGACTCCATCTCACATCCACACCTACAGCTCCCAGCCTGCCAAGTGCCACTCCTATTCTCAAGTCACTTATTTTACTTCTCGGAAGTCGCATTATCCAGGTGTGTCCAAATGATCCGACTAAAGAAGTCACCACAAGGGAATGCCAGTTTGGTTTAGTTGTTCCAAAACCAAAACCTCAACCCAAATGCCTCTGCTGGAGGCACCTAACAGTTCATCTCTTCAAAACACTATAATGGGACACACTGATCTTTCCATCAAAGAGTTAATTCCTTTCTTATCTTAGAGAACCCTGCTGGTTCTCTATACCAGCAGTTTAGGACATAGCAGGTGCTCTGGCTTCTGTAAAGCCTTTGACAGAGCAAGCTGTGTTTCCCTTAATCAGAAACATGGCACGTAAGAATGGAAGGCAGCTGCTGCGATCCAGGAGCAATAAAGAACCTTTCCAAGAAGCGGCCTCACTGATCTGAGGCAAGGCTGGCTGAATATAGCAAGTCACTGATTTATTATGCATAAACAGAGCCAAAATGGCCATACTTGGGGCTTACGCACAGCACTTCAAGGCAAACATTCTTCCTTTCAGAAAATGATGCAGTTCAAACTAAACACACATCTCACTAATGCACAGAACTTCTGGCTCACAGGCCTGCCCAGCAATCCCTGTTTTAAACAGTGAGATCTGAAATTGTTAATGCTGGTTTCTATGCAAAGAAGGGGCAGAGAAGTGAGAGAAATATTTGTTTCCTCAGATTTCCTATATCCTTCAGCAGCACCACTCCTTCCTGCAAATGCCAATTGCAGGCTTTGCAGACACTCTCTTACCATCCAGAGGAGTTTCTTATTAACCTAGAACACCCGAAAGCACTTTCCAGTAAAGTGAAATTAACAAACTTTTTTAAAAAAGCAAGAGTTAATATGTACCAGTTTTGCGCCAGAGGTCAGTGACAGGGTTTCTGCCTGTGGAAAAGGCTTTACCCCATCAATGATAAACCAGCTCAGCCTCACATCCTGATCACTGTTCACATACCATGAGAGTTGCACTGAATGCAAATCAGAGAGAAATCCAGCTCCTTAGCCTGCAAAATATTTGTGCAGCGTGTCAACAGGGTGATGAGGTGCTCCTAAACACACAACTGATTCCTGCTGCTCCCACAATAAGCACCTTGTCCTTTCTGTCAGGCCCAGGAGGCAGACCCTAGGGCTGTGTACCTTCTTCAAAGACTCTGAAGACAGAGGCAGCTTCATCTATCTGCTTCCGCCATCCTAAGGGCAGGGGAACACCACCAGAGGAGCGATAAGGAGCTATCTGCAACACGGCCTGGCATTACGCATCCCGTGGCAGCACAGTGGGCACTATCAGTGCCTCACAGGAGGGAGCTGTGCAACATCACCACCTAACACGTGTTCCTTTGGCACTGCTTCTCCCAGGGACATTGCAAGTGCTGGTTTCAAAGGCCAGTGATCCAGTGAACGTGGATTGGTAAGCAGATGGAATGGAGCTCGGCAATCCCGAGGCACTCACTGCAGAAGGATGAGAAGATCCTATGTGTACACAGCCCTTCCTGCTCCTCCCCAGGAAGGGCAAACACACAGCAGTGCAACAGCACAGGCTGCTTCTGGAACAGCCCAAAACATGGCCATACTGGCAGCTCTGCCAGTTGCTAGTTATAAAAGCATTCCTGCTTCCTATTTCTGTACACTGGCCTGCTCTATCTTGTTTTTATAGCCCTGACTGCCATGATGCAGACAAGAAACGCAGAAGGACAAAGATCAATGTGCTGGGTGCTTAGCACAACCTCTGTGCTCCCAACACCAAGGACATAGCAGGACATGCTCCTACCGGAAGAGCGTGTAATGCGTAGGAAGCACTGCTTGTGCTGCAGAAGCACAAGGTACAGACAAGCATGGAAAATAGTGGAGATTCTAATACAGCAAAAGTTACGAAATGTCAGCTATGCTTTATTTCGATCTGACTGCTTAAAACTGGCTAAAGCTATTGGGAGACACTAACACCACACAGATTCCCAAACTAACCAGCCCCGTCACCTGTGGCTGCTTCACAGGGAAGCATTTACCACAGTCTCCTCTGAGACCTCCAAATGGGACCTCTCACTCATGATAGGTTTTCCCTCTGGGGAAGGTATTTACAGATCAGGCTGCCATTTGCTCTAATCCCACTTTCTCCTAGTAGAAAGTAAAAGTATCAATTCTGCAGAACCATCACTACCTAGTCCTTCCACGAACACCACTGACATATCCCACAAAAAATTCAGCATTTAGCAAGATTCCAAATCATTCTATTTCTTATATGCATTACTACAAGCACCAGAATTTGTGTCTAACTACAATGCTGGGCACTAAGCTGAGCAGGGTTAGTCATCCTGCTCCCACCATGGCCAAGGCTCAGCAGCTTTAATGCACCACAGACAGAGAAGACTGTATTTTTTGGCACATTTTGAGTTCTGCTAAATGCTGCTAAGTGAGCTGGGAACTTAAGAAGGATGAACGTGCACAGATTTCATTTGCAAGTATCAGGTTTCAGTTCAAGTTGCTCCTCCTTAAGACAGTTAGCTTTAACGACCAAGAATACATCGACAGCCTGTGTACAGCCCTACTAGAGAATTTGCTAGTTCTCTCAATATTAACAAAACAAATATACTATGCTGTATACACAGAACAGTGATTGTTAAATTAAGTTATGGTCAAATATCTTAAATCTTTTTCTCTTTGCATGGTGGCATTTGAGTTGACTTTTTTTTTCTTTAATGTGACACCAGTCAGAAAGGTTTCCTTTCTACATTCATACCTTCCAAACATTTACCAGATCATTTCTATGCCTGTATGCCTGAGAGCAAACCACCATGCCATTCTGATCTCAGTACTACCTTGCAAGTCCCTGGATAATCAACAGAGACAAGGAGAATCATTCTCCTTGCTACCCTGTAGCACTCAGTTATTCCCAATGGATTATCCAAATCCAGAAATACTCAAGCTAATCTGGTCCATGCTGGGTGAGGCAGATGTGTAAATAAACTGAACTCCACCATCCTTCCCGTGCTCTTGGAAATTCAAGCCACAGGAAGCGTCTGTTTCTTTTTGAAGTTCTTCGCTGCTCCCAAAGGATGACACTACTTGGACATTATCATGCTGCACACTATGATTTCCTTGACTAAGAAGAAATTATTTTTTCCCCACCCATACCAGAGAGGCCTAATTCAAAAGAATATTCAGCAGAGCTTCCCTTGACAGTTAAACACCGTGCTTCAGAAGAATCACCAGAAATGTTTTACCTCTACAATTACAGCTCACAAAAACGTAATTCTACAACGAGCCTAAAAGAACTCAAAAGACTAAAGATAAACATGTGAGTTTTCTGAAGAGGTGAATTTGCTCTCTTGTCCCATTTATCTATGTAGCAATTATAAGTTGCTCGTCTGTCTGTGTTTTTACAAAAATACAGTGCTTAAACATGCACTGCTCCAGCTTAGAACCTCAGAACTTGTAGTGCTACTTCATCTTCTACTGCTCAAGCAAAAGGTAGCAAACGCATCTTAATACCTCAGATAACAGATTCTTAAATGAAAAGCAAGGTGCTTGCTTTTGCAAACTACCCTATAAACACAAGCAAAGATTATTTAGTCTATACGCTTCCAGAGTTTTCATCCAAATCAACTGTTTAGACTGAACACAAAAAAAATGGAATAGTGTTGGGAAGTTTTGCAGAACTTGGAGATTGCTTAGAATGCCAATAAAGAGTTAAAATTCAGTCTTATTACAATGAAATCTTCCACGGTGCAGTAACAGCTTTTATATTTCTTTTTCAGTGGGGGGATTTCCCTGGCCTCCCTAGGTAATTACAGTAATTTTAGGTTTGCTGCAACAGCTCTTACATGGATGGGAGGAGGGACTGGCAATCCCTGAATGCTGATGCTTTACATCCAAACATTAGATGAGAAAATCTTGCTGGATTATTAAAGATCCATTGTACCCACAACTAAAGGCTTTAATCAGCTGGAATCACAGGTCCTTTGTAAAACACTGCCTCCATATTTAACAATATGGCTCCAAAAAAATCTTAATTCAAGTTCACAGTCTGTTCCTGGAATAGTTGAACAGAGAAAGACTCTTCCCCTTCACAGGCTCACTCTCCTTCCCAGGTGA